CCCCCCCGCCCCCGGTCTGTTTCAGACCCTAGCACACGACTGACTACATTCATCACCACTTTGGACATTTCATTCAGGTTTGGCCAACATGCAGCATCTCAGATCCCTATCTCTCCGGGGGTACGGAAGTACAGGATTGCAAGAGACCAGCTGGTCCGCAGTCGTCCTGTACGTAGACAACAAAGTTCACCGGTCAGTTTTGCTGGTCCCCAGGCTGTTTCTGGGCAGAAGAGACCTCCGAAGCCCTCTCCAGCTTTCCTGTTCTTTTACAGCAAGAGCTAAGAGAGCCAGGGAGGCTCCTGTGTTGTGCAGCTAGGATTCAAACCCATCTGTGTGACCCTAGTGCCTGTCCTCTGGCCTCCCAAGAGACAAACAGGAATGAGAGAAACATGAGAACTGAGAGGTGAGGTGTGGAAGCAAAGCACCATGGTCAGAGAAGGTCATTTACTTACTGAGAGGCTTGTCCGGAGTCCCACTCAGAAGGAAGGAGAGTGTGTGGCTGAGCCTCTGTGCTAGCCCTTTAATGGGAAGCACTGAGAAAACATTTGAGGAACCAAAACTCAAATTGCATAGTTCACTGGGAAGTTACCGGTCAATGTTCCAGGGTTGTGAGTCAACAGGCATTAGGTCCGAACTCGAAAGGAATAATAAAAACCTGCCAAGTCCCACAGCAGAAAGTATTTTATTCTAAATAGTTCATGATTAATGAAAGCTTATGATGCTAGTATAAATCTTCTTTCTGGGAAGATGGCAGTTTCTACCTTTCTGGTATCTTTGAGGATTTTCCCTTTTATCTTTGGGGTTATAAACATTCTTAGGATGTTGTCTAGGTGTGGGTGCTTTTACATTCATTGCCCTGAGCACCCAGCGGGCTTTTTCATTCTGAACAGCTGGAGCTCCCAACAGCCCTGGGCGATTATCTTTAATTTCCTAACTTCCTACTGTTTTTCTCTTTTCACTCTGCCTGGTATCCCCCTTATTCAGTTGGAAATCTAAGTCTTAACTTTCTTTTCCCTCAAACATTCTCTTACCAGCTTGCTCTACTTCCTGGAGATTTCGTCTCCTATATTCTTTCAATTCTCCCACAACAATCCTTAGTGTCAGCCATTCTACTTCTATTTCCCCACAGCTCTTTCTCGTGGTGACGGTTCCTTGTTTTCACATCTAATTTATTAAACCAATGCAATCCTTTTGAGTCTCTTCTCTGATACTATCAAATGACAAAACTAAAACAATCTAGTAACAAGTTTGATGTCCTTTATTCAAGGGAACAGAATCCATGTATGGGGGAGTACAGGACCTTACAAGCAGCTAGCGTGCTCTGCCCGAGGGATTTTGCGCTGGCGCCAGCTTTATAGAGAAGAGTTAACACGGAAACAGTATGACTGGCTAGGAGGTCGACGCTTCCCTTGTAAGGCTGGCAGGCTCTGTTTTCTACAGTGAGCTAAAGTAGCTAAAGCTGAGTTGAAGGATTGTGACTGGTATCGTTAGGCTTCCTTGACAGGTGTTTCCTGTAAGTGCAGGCTGACTTAGGCTTTGTTGTTGTTTGTTTGTTTCATGTTTTTATTTATTTTTGAGAGAGAGCATGAGAGAGGGGAGGAGCGGGGGAACAAAGGATCCGAAGCAGGCTCTGTGCCGACAGCACGAAGCCCAATGCGGGGCTAGAACTCACAAACTGTGCACCAAAGACGGATCCTCAACCGACTGAGCCACCCAGCTGCCCCTGACTTACGTTTAGATTTGTGACTTGGCCTGGGCCCCTGGGGTCATCTCCATTTTGTGGGTCCCTGTCTACAAATTAACTTTATCAATACTGATGTTTAAGTCCATCTGTCTTCTGCATTATCTGTTTCCTCCAAGGTTCTTACCATTTATCTTGGTGTCTATTTTTCACATCATCAGCTTTCTCAAATGTATCCTGGTCTTCGGTTTCACATTTAAGAATGAAGCAAATTAAATGCTGATTGGTCAGAGTTAGGGTTTAAAAATCCAATTAAGTCACATGAGTGTGATTTGAACCTAAGCCCTTTATGGAGAACAGACTGGAAAACCAAGATTTACCCCAGCCAAGCCAGCCTTAAATGTCAGAGAAATCCCTCAGAAAATGATTTCCAGTTACCTGTAGGGACAGAGCTAGCAGCTGAAAGAAAGCTCGCTTGAGATGTTCCTTGAGCATCAAATGGTCGGTTCTGGAAGGATTCTTTGGGGGTGCCAGTGCCCACACTAACTCCTCAAAGTTCATTGAAACAGTTTTTTCTCTGTTTTTTAAGAGAAGAATCTGATTTTTTGCCTTGGGGCTAACACCTTCCTACAAATAACCGAATGGTGCAGTAGAGGGAGCTGGCCTTTATTGGTCCCTCGACATTCAGCCCTTCCTGTCATTCCTGCCCTTCTCACCTGGCAATTTGGGTCCCCAGTCTTCTTTGCAGGGGACATACTCTCCCACAGGTTATGGGTACATTCAGGCTGTGGTTTTCTTCGGCTTATTCATTGATTACTACAGCGATGTGCTGTTCCCAAGGGAACGCCCAGTGGCCTTCCCACCTTCCAAAAATTTGTTAAAATATTCTGTGCACGGATGGTCCCCTCCTGCTTTCTTAATTTTGGAGGGTTTATACTTTTTAACATCATTTCAGCAAGACTGTGTAACTATTACCAATAATGGGCAATTTACTAGGGTCTAAAATAAACAGGTCTATTAAGTAGGTAATTTAACAGGTAAATTTATTAAGGTCTAGTACTTGCCTGGCACAGCTCTAAGCATGTTAGATGTGTCCATCCAATCCCCTGAACAGTCCAAAGGAAGTAGGTATGATTATGATCTCCATTTTACAGACAGGGTAACTCAGGCACATAGGGGTTCAGATGAACCAGATAGTCTGGATATGGAGTCTGCACTTTTAACCGCTATGTTGTGCTGCCATAAGGCTAGATTTTAGGGAAAGGCAAACCTAGGTAATCCAGAAAGCTCATTCCCTACCCTTTTTGGTAGTTGAGCAAATTGCTGAGTTAGGGAGGCTTTTGTTACCCACCCGCATCATTGGAATGTGAACTCACT